CTCCCAGGCGTACCCCTTTGTTTGAATAGAGTCGTAGTGTTCTGTGGACTGATGAAACAAAATTAGAACCTTCAAGTAAAACAACTGTGAAAATGGTGGAGGGTCAATCATGCTTTGGGGCTGTTTTGCTTCTGCAGGTACAGGGAAGCTTCAGCGTGTGCAAGGTAAATTCTCTTCAGTAAAAACGTGATGCAGTCCTTGAAAACGTTGGACCTTTCAACAGGACAATGATCCCAAGCATACCTCCAAGTCCACATGGTTGCAGAGGAAAGGCTGGAACATTTTGGAGTGGCCATCGCAGTCACCAGACTTAAATCCGATTGAGAACCTCTGGTGGGACTTAAAGAAAGCCACCCTAAGAATAGTGATTATGCCCATGAAGAATGGGCGAAGATATGATTATGTGCTTCACGTTTAAAAGAGAACTGTAAAAGGATGCTGTACTAAGAAAATAGAAGAAGAAAAAAATATCATTTCATTCTTTATTTTGGTCAGACAAGTGCCTCTTTAATGGTCAAAAACTGTCAAAAGCAATGTCAAACTGGCCAAAACACTCAATTTCAGTGGGGGTTGAATAATTTTGGACACAACTGTATGGCCAACTTAATGGTGAGCTACAGTTTGGATAAAAAGTTTGTTTAGTTAAAATCATATTTTGTGCACATAATCTTTAATTTTCCTGCTTTTGAGAACTGCATCAGTACACGCACTAGTGTTCAAAGCGAGTTTCTCAACCTGATGGAAAATTTTTAAAGAGGTTGAGTGTAGCAAATCCCCCCCCAAAATGCTGTCAGACAAAGATTTCATATCCTACTACAGAGCTATCCAGTAGGGAGGGCTAATTTTGTCTCAAAAATGCACATTCGAAGAGGAGAAATCAGAGGTGTGTAAAAAGCATATATTATGCTGGTAGAGTACAAGACATTTTTATATTTTAATCCAATCAAAATAAAATAGTTTTGTAGCCATTTATAAATAGGATATACTGTTTGTATTTATATTAACCATGAGTGCAAAGCATAGTGTATATAGGTATGATAAATAGTAAAAGTCTATATAACATTCTGGGGCTTTTATATTGCATATTACTGGAAACATTTTAAAAACAAACTTTTTCCCAGTTTTTTTTTAATGCAGCCTGTTGGTGGGAAAATTGCCATATTTTGTTCTAAGTGTAGGGACAGGATAATTCAATAGAACATGCTTAATAGCCACCCAAAACAAAGAGTCTGACAGCTGCAGGGATAATTGGCATAATGAGGAGCTCTGTTTTTATCTGAAGTTTTCAGTTGCAGTATTCTTATATTCTGTCACATTACAGGGTATGTATAAAAAAATACAAAGTCTGAAATGCAAGACAAAGGCTTTTAATTTAAAACCTTAACTAGCCATTTATCTGAAAGAGGGTTGTACAACCTTTTGACTTTTCTGGGCCACATTGGAAGAAGAGGAATTGTCTTGGGCCACACATAAAATACACTAACAGTAAGGATAGCTTATGAGCAGAAAAAGTCAGCCAGATCACAAGTTAACGATCACTGATATAGATAATGTACCTATCTGAGTAATAAGATTTCATTTTTTTTTTAAATTGTTATAATAAAATTAAAAGAGGGCAACTAGTGCGATATTTGACACTGTTTTGGATAAAATGATGCATCAATATCTGTTTCGATCATCTGAGTAATTAAACTTTTTTTTTTTTGTTTTTTTGTTATAAAAGTAAAAAAAGCAGCATAAAACTAGTGCGATATCTGACACTGTTTTGGATAAACGAATGCATCATCATCTGTTTTGATGGATGAAATAGCAGTACTCAATGAACTCTCAAGATGCTCATCAGATATTTTGGCTTTAATTTTTCCCTTCCTGTGCATCATTTGTAACCACTTTTGCACCGCCCTATAGCAGAAATATTGCTACAGGGCTGCACGGGTGCGCAAAATCACGTATATATGCGTGATTTTGCATTTTCGGGTAGGGGGCACACGCTCCCTACCCGTGCCACTATCCGCGGATGTCAATCACTGGGTCCTGGCCGGTGATTACTTGCCAGCGCCCGGTGATTTCCGACTATCTCCAAAGGGGAGGAGAACTGTTTTGTTTACTAACAGTTCTCTTCCCTGTCAGCTCGGGCACACTGCTTTGGATGGCTGTGTGCAGCACAGCCATCCAAAGCAACGTGCTTACAGTGAAGCACACTGACACGGCCTCCTATGTAAAACACTCCCAACACACAGTTAATCCTTTGATCGCCCCTCATGTTAACTCCTTCCTGCCCAGTGCCATTAGTACAGTGTCAGTGCTTTTTATTAGCACTGATCATTGTATTGGTGTCAGTGGGGATGTCAGTGACACCAAGTCAGTTCCCCCAAGTGTCAGACTGCCCGCCACAGTCCCGCAGTCCCGCTATAAGTCGCTGATCGCCGCCATTACTAGTAAAAATTAAAAAAAAAAAATTCCAGTATCTATTTTTTTTAGCAAAAACATGTAGCAGAATACATTTTGGCCTAAATTTATGACGAAATGTAATTTTTAAAATTTTTTACTGGACGTTTAATAGCAAAAAGTAAAAAATATTGTTTTTCTCAAAATTGTCTGGCTTTTTTTTTTATTGCGCAAAAATAAAAAAATGCACAGTTGATCAAATACCACCGAAAGAAAGCTCAATTCGTGGGGAAAAAATGACAAATTTAATTTGGGTGCAGCATTACATGACCGCGCAATTGTCAGTTACAGTAACGCAGTGCCATAACGCAAAAAATGGCCTGGTCAGGAAGGGGGGTAAATCCTCAGGATTTTCAAGTGGTTAAAAACAATTGTTCACATATATAGGTTCTGCTGGCAACTGACTAAATGGATAAGATGTGATTGTGAAAAGTGGGATATTTCTCTTTGGGAAGATAACTTACAGTATAAACGTCCAGCAAAGAGATGCTGTCAGAATTTTCTTCAGTCGCATGTGTTCGCTAAGTGTAAATACAGTTTTACAAAAAAAAAAGTAAAAACAAATCTACATTTTTAAGTAAGTTTATGATTTTGTATTGGGCAGCATTCAGAATTATCTTTGGTAGCGGGTTGGACGCCCCTGATCTAAAACATAGTATCAAGCCCCTGCCACTTCTAACCTGTCATCATGCAATATGTAGTGACATCACAGAGTTTACCTCCACCCTCCAGAAAATACAGTATTGTGACAATTCTGACAACATAATCATGTACAGTAATTACAACTTACAGCTGCTGTAAGTGATACCATGTATAAATATCCTTTTCCTAATATTCTTTGCATGTTTTGCATCATGTTGTTACCTTGAACAAGATGCGTGGATGGCAAATGGCCTCTCTAGCTCTCCATATCTTTGCATGGTTGTATGGAGTAATCAGTATTAGTGGTTTATCACATTTTCCTAAAAAATCACAGGGCTCATGATAATACTAACAAGAATCTGTATTGATCATGTCCGGCCACTATACATACAGCCAGGGTAAATTGCAGGAAGCCTGGAGCGCCAGAATCTGAAGCACGTGTGCATTACAACCAATCAGCTTCTAGCTTTCATTTTCTATGCTTAAAGCTTATTAAACACCAAAACAAAAATGTAATATATTGTAACTTACCAATCCTTAAATGTGATGGCTCCATTAGTTTCCTTTTTTCCCTTTATTTTCACCTTTGGACAGCAGCACCTTTGGAGGGTAGTGTTAGATTTGCTAGCAGATTTAGACAGACTTGATTAACAAATTAAAGCCAAATTCCAGATAATGCTTTTTAAGCAGTTAGGGCTCTTTCACCCACGTGGCTGGGTAGGGGAGGCACTAAACACAGGTGGCTGAGCAGCATCTTCACCTCCCTCCGGCTACCCACCTGATTGCTAATCTTACAGCCTTGTAAGGCTCTACATATGCTTCTGTGGCATTTTTAACTCAATCTACAGAGTTTAACAGATGGTACCTCTATTCAAAATCATACATTGAGATCAATGGGGCCGCACTGCAACCATAAGCCAAATGCTTGGCTTGTAGTTACAGCGTGGCCCCTCAAAGTAAATTTGCAATTCAGCAATTTAAAACAGTAAAAAAAAAAAAAACATGCACAGAGGCATCAGGAGACAGCAGTAGAACATGTCCGCCACTACCTTTACCGCCCTGTCTGCTGTGGATCTTTTCCAGGAGGCAGCAGTAGCCTGTCAGCTGCTGCTATACCACCCTATCCGCTGTGGATCACTTTTCACAGGGCGGTAAGCACTGTTGCTTGTTGTCTAAAATATACCTTACAGCAACAGGTTTTTTTTTCCTTTTGGGATAAAAGTTTTACATAAATGAATGAACAAACTTAAAATAAGTGGGCAGCAAATGTAAAAGCAAAAAAAAAAAAACAAACAAACTGGTATAGTGGTAAACTATGGGGGGGATTTACTAAAACGGGTGCATACAGAATCTGGTGCAGCTTTGCATAGTAACTAATCAGTTTCTATCTTCAGCTTGTTCAATTAAGCTTTGACAATAACACCTGGAAGCTGATTGGTTACTATGCACAGCTGCTATTCTAAACATTCTTTATGTGTTTTCATAGTTTCTCAATTATTTGCTCTAACAAAATCTTATACACAGATGTAAGCAAAAGACAACTGAACAAAAAGAAATGATATAGAATGTATACATAGATACATTAGTTGGTATACTTCTAGTTAATCACAAGTTAGGTCCTACTGGATCATTTGTCTACAAGTTCTATTTGGTTGATAGGTAGGAACAATGTGTGGCAGCTCTGAGTTCAATCAAATGCACAGCATAACATTATTTGCCTAGGAGTATGACTACATAAGGAATATTCCTGGAAATAAAAGTCCATTTAAAAAAGGGAAATGTGCATATTATTCATCATCTTCTGCAGGTCATTAAATCAATGTATAGTCATCTCTGTTTATGTAGTTTTGTCTCTCATTCAGGCCATAATTTCATAGTTCCCATGTAACCCTCAGAATCTTCTGATTTAGATCTCTTCAATGGAGACAAATCTGAAAACAATAGAGGAGGAGAACAAACTCATAGAGCAGAACAATGAAAGTCTTTTGAAGGAGTTGGCTGGTCTGAGCCAAGCCCTTATCTCAAGTCTTGCCGATATACAGCTTCCACAAATGGTAAGGCTATAAAGTTTGCCATCATTATCCACTTATGATAGCATCCTTGATATTTAACTACTCCATAGGGTTGTTATACTAAACCTGGAGAGTGCAAAATCTGGTGCAGCTCTGAAAAGAAAACCAATCAGCTTCCAGATTTTTTATGCTTTTTTTGGCATAGCTTGAAGGAGAAGTTGTCCTCCTCCCCTCTCTCTCCGTAGTCTTATGGGACCTGTCACAAGGCACAACACTGCTCGCGCATGCGCAATGGACACTGTCGCAAGCTGTCACAGCCGGGTGCCCACACTTAGGATGCCGGCGCCGGGGAGTGAGGATGGCCAGTGAAAGGGACTGCGGTGAGTACACTGCTGGATCGTGGAACAGGTGAGTAGCTGTTTTTTTATAAGTCAGCAGCTAAAGTTTTTGTAGCTGCTGACTTTTATTTTTTTGTAGGTTTGACGGGAGATTTGATTTAATTGAACAAGCTGAAGTTAGAAGCTGATTGGCTATCATGCACAGCTGCACTAGATTTTGCAGTCTCCAGTTTTAGTAAATCTACCCCAGTGATTAAGATAACAAGTAGTTTGCAAAGGATGGTGTGCTCATTATGCTCCAAGTCATCTGTACGCTGTGAAACACAATTTTAAAAGGAAATTAGCAATGTTAGGACATGTTTTGGCCAAAAGTGCATGCACGACACTATGAACCTGAACTTTAAAAATGTCAGCACCATGAACCAGTCTGACCTCCCCATAGACACCACTGAGACTGAAGTAATGACACTCTGAAATATCAGGCTAATAAATTGATTGGTGAGAATACTTATTAGAACAGGGTTTTATGGATGAAGTTTAAACTCTGGGCAAGTCTGAGTGTAGGTGACTTTTGCTTTTGTCACAGACAAGGCTGTTTTGTTGACTTGAAACTGTTCAACTTACAATAGCTCCTATAAAGACTGTCTAAGCCCATGCCATGAGCATTGATATTGCTCGCCTGGCTTTAATTGTCATACACTAATGCTCACTTAAAGTGGACCTTTACCCATAACAACTTATAAAAAATAATGTTCTTTGGCAAGGAACATACATTTCACAATAATAATTATGCTACCAAAATTAGTGTGCGCTGTAAATTGCCTCCAGCATTGCTCCTGTTTCTTTTTTGCTGGAGGCTGCCATTTTGTTGAAACTCAAAGCCCCTGAGCAGCATTACATCTTTAGGCTCTTAGCAGATCGACTTCTACAAATTCTGCACAGTGCCTTTTAGAGAGCAACTGAGCATGTACAGAGCAGGATGAGACAGATGGGTTGATTTAATAAAACTGGAGAGTGCAAAATCTGATGTAGCTGTGCATGATAGCCAATCAGCTTCTATCTTCAGCTTGTTCAATAAAGCTTTGACAACAAAAGAACTGGAAGCTGATTGGTTTATATGCAGAACTGCACCAGATTTTGCACTCTCCAATTTTAGTAAAACAACTCCAGTGTATTACTGGATTTTAAACAATATAGGTACATATTTGTAATCTTTTACCTGCAAAGGGGGCCAGCCTGAAGTGATCTAGCAGGACTTAATTTTCTGACTAAAGTTCTACCCTAACTTATAACTTGGGATCTTTGGCCTCTCTTCCAGAAGAATCTTATGTACCCCAGATTTAAAGGGCTATACCTCCATGGTATTGATCTTTATGGCAGATGTGAACTATACAGGTTGCTTCAGGATACAACTTCTCCTCCCCAATTTTTTTGAAAACACCTAAAATCCCATCAAATTTTAGAGAAACCACTAAACAAATTAATTTCAGTCCATATCCATTAAGACGCATACAGTCTAATGACCTCTGTAAAAGTTATAAAGAATGAAAAATATTAGTGTCAGTTTGGGTGAACACTCATTTAGGGCAGGCCATAGACCAGCAATGGGCAAACTACGGCCGTATACGGCGGACCTTTTAATCCGGCCCGCGGAGCTAGGCTCCCGCTAGGCTCCTCTCACAGGCCGCCCTGAAGACCGGTGTAGCATGAAAATCTGTCTCCTATGAGGATCTGTCCCCCTCGACGTATCTGCGCATGTGCCGGAGATCGCCGATCGGCTGCTAATGCCTGAAACTGGCACATGCGCAGATACGTCGAGGGGGACGATACTCATAGGAGACAGATTTTCATGCTACACCGGAACGGCGTGGGAACACGGAGAGAGGAACGTGCGGAGCAAAGGTAAGTGAATTGACACAGGGGGGACTTGGGGACTTAATATGGGGGATGAATTAATATGGGGGATGAATTACTATATGGGGGATGAATTACTATATGGGGAATGAATTACTATAGGGGGGATGAATTACTATAGGGGGGATGAATTACTATGGGGGATGAATTACTATATGGGGGATGAATTACTATATGGGGGATGAATTACTATGGGGGATGAATTACTATAGGGGATGTATTACTATATGGGGGATGAATTACTATATGGGGGATGTATTACTATATGGGGGATGAATTACTATATGGGGGATGAATTACTATGGGGGATGAATTACTATATGGGGGATGAATTACTATATGGGGGATGAATTACTATGGGGGATGAATTACTATATGGGGGATTTATTACTATGCTTACTATGGGGGAATATTACTATACTTACTATGGATGACACATACACATCATTCATCTACTCTTGGTCCGGCCCCTGGGTCCAATATATGAACCCATTGCGGCCCTCAAGTCAAAAAGGTTGCCCACCCCTGCCATAGACGGTGTAAATTTCTTTCCTGCAACCATGGTTGCAGAAATGAAACTTGCTTGATTCCCCCATCAACACAGACAGTGTTGACAGGGAATCCCTCCCGTGGAGCCAATGTGCTCTCCTGGCGGGGGAAGCCCTGGCCAGGAGAAAACGGTGATTATTGCATGTAAAATCTGGCAGGCTGGTTGAACCCAAGTTGATCGATCGATCAACTTGGGTACATTCAGCCTGCCCATACATGGTTCAAATCTCGCCTGATTCCTGCTGAGATCTAACCCATCTGTGACCGGCTTTACCTTTGATTTGGTTTATAGATATGAAAGAGAAACCAGAGTACACAAAGGAAACTGACACAAACACAGTGGGAACATAAAGCTCTATGCAGATGGTAGCCAAGATAAGAATTCAATCTGGAATGACATAACTGTAAAGCCACATGGCTTAAAAACTAAGGCACCTTGCTGCCCATATAGAATAGGTTATTAAATTCCATGAATAGTTGTAAGCTAAATTACTGCAACAAACAACCATCCATCTGGTATCTAAATATAAAGACATAAAGGTCATGTTGTATCCGACTAACAATTATTGTGTTATTGTACATGGGGAGTTAGATCTGAAAATTCAATACTAAGGCTATTGATGAAAAAACTTGTTCACGCCTGCTACCATTATGTATGCACCATCTGCTAAGTACCTGCTCAAGTTAGTAGCTTGGTACTATGGTGAATTGCTCCCAAGAGCTGTCAAATAGAACTAGTAAACAACTTCCAGATTTCTGATTTTTGTTCTTCGTTTCACAGAATAGTATTTTGAAGATAATTTTTTAACCATTCATGTAGGGCACTGTCATAATTCATCTTATTACCTAAAAAACAAGCACACAGATATGTACACATTACTTTATAGCGGGCTTGGTCACAAGTCTGAAAGAGGCATAGGACTTGTACATTTTTCAACTTGATAAAGGAATTGCATACAGAAAATGATAGTTACAGTCACAGAGTTCACACAAATGTTGTGTATAATGTCTTGATGGGACGTGAATGCCCCCCTAATTGAGAAAGGGATACCAGCATTATGATTTTATAATGGTTTCACAAAAAATACTGCTGAATACTTTTGTCAACTACCAATGCCACTCTCCACTAACAATGAGAAAGTTGTATGGCAAGGCAAAAGTGTTGTAACCTCTTTAAGCTCAGAACCCTCTACTAAACTGTGACCCATAAGGATATACCAAACAGTATCTCTCATGAATGTCTTAATTACTAAGATAAATTCTGTCTTCAACTTTCTTGGACAAAACTAAAGTATTTTGCATTCAGACATAATGCAGGAAAGAAATATTGTCTGGATTAACTACTGAGACCAGTCTAATTGGTTGTTTGAAATATCATAATTTTTTCATATTACGGGCTCTGCATCTTGGTGGTTGAAGCAAACTTACTACCTGACATGGCAGCTGCTTGACATGATGCTTAAATGCATCAGTCAAGGCCACAAAGTTCTGTCTTTTCCCAAAGAATACCACCTCTTTTCCGGCATTTACAGATAACTATTTTGCAGCTATATACACAAGGGGTAAGATAGCAAATTGGCTTTTTTTTGCTGGCATAAAGCAGAAATGCCAATTCACTATGTATATGTGCATTGAAAAACTAAAAATCACCTTCTGAAAGTGGATGACCAAGCAATGTGATGCTAGAATGATTAAGGTTTTTAGTCATTGCTTTTAAATCACAGATTAATAATCTGTAGAACTATTTTGTTTTTTCTGTACTGTATTTACTTGCATTAAATTATATCAAAAGCCAAAAGTGGTTTGCACAGAGCAGCCCGGATGCTCCTCTCTCGGGTTCCTTGCTTGCACTCTTGGCCCTCCCTCCTGTTGGGTGCTCCCACACAGGGGCGGACTGACCATTTCTAAACTCGGGCACTGCCCGAGGGCCCGGGGTCAGTAGGGGGCCCCATTAGATGCCCCTGGTACCTTTTTCATAGGCTTTTTTGAGTTTGGGCAAGGACACAGGGGCCTCATAATTCCCTATTGCCCGGGGGCCCCATGAGTTGTCAGTCCGCCCCTGCTCCCACAGCAAGCAGCGTGAACGGGCACCTGAGCAGGCGAGCCCCCGAGCCGCGGCTCTGCGTGTCCATTAACACACAGAGCCACGACTCGGCCCTGCCCCT